CTTCCTCCTCAGAGCACACCAGGTCACCTACTTCGGGGTAGGTGGTGACTTGGTTGTTTGACTTGGTTGTTGGTTATTACATTGGTCATTGTTATTGACATGAGCTGATTTGTTTTTAGAACAGTCAACTTGCTGAGTAAAGCATTAAGTTCACCTTCAAATTGTTGGTGACCTCGAAGAAAGTATTTTAGAGTTTTGTGAGGACTTATTGGGATACTGGTAGAAAGGATGGATTTCAGTGGTGGTCATGAGGTGTGAATCATAACAGGTGATGCTGTTTGTCCAAAAAAGAAAGAGCTGTTACCAGAAAGCATCCACTGCCTCTGTTGACTCAAGAATGCTGTCTTTAGGATGGACCTCAGCACTCTGATATGGTTTGCATCTGAAAATGTCCCTGCAAGACCATATCTAAAGGTTTGGTCATCAGCGTGTGACCCTAATGTCAAGTGGTAGAATCCTGAGGAAGTGGAGCCTAGTGGAAGGAAGTGATGTCAGTGTGGGCATGCCCTGAAAGAGGATATTGGAGCCCAGCCTCTTCTTCCAGTTTCACTTCCTGGCAGTTGTTACATCAATGGTTTGCTGTACCACACACCTTTGCCACATTCTTAGCCTTACCACAGCCCAGAGTGACAAGGCCAAGAAACCAAAAGTTCTGGAACCATCAGCTAAATCTGTCCTCCTTTTACGTAACTGGTCTCAAATGTTTTTGTCCCAACAACAGGAAGCTAATGTACACACCAAGGAAAGTGTTTACTCCTAAATGTCTCCTGAACTCTCAATCAGTGCTGGCCCCACCTTCACCCAGTTTTGAGGTGAATCTTGGAAGTCCTTTGTCCTCCACTCTTCAGCTGTGTGGAGCTCCTCACATCCATCTCCCAGTGTAGACCCAGCCCAAGATGGGTACCCAGGACCCTTCTTTGAGGGATTTATAGTTGAGAAAAGCTAGTCAGTCTGGGACAGACTGTTGAACTGAAGCAGTGCTGGGGGAACCTTCAGCTCTAAGGAGGTTCTACAAAGAATAGAGCAGAGGCGAGAGGAATCTGATGAGAAAGAAGAAGAAAACATCACGCCTTTCTAATAATCCGACATCTTTCTCTTTAGAAACCGAATTCATTTTAATAGTACTACATTCCTCACACTGTATTTTTCTTGGTTAGGCTAAGAGAGGAAGTTCCCAGATTTGGTCTCACTCTCTACACACTACCACTGTTGCTACAATTCCTAACATGAAAGAAAGGCCATTGTATTAGTCAGGGTTCTCAAAATGAACAAAAATGATAGAATGAATGGTGTGTGTGTGTGTGTGTGTGTGTGTGTGTGTGTGTGTGTGTGTGTGTGTGTGTGAGAGAGAGAGAGAGAGAGAGAGAGAGAGAGAGAGAGACAGAGACAGAGACAGAGACAGAGACAGACAGAGAGAGAGAGAGGAGAGGGAGAAGAGAGGGGGGATTTATTAGAATTATAAATTCTGAGTAGTCCAACCTTGACTGTCTCATAATGAAAAGGCCAAGAATTCAGTAGTTGTTCAGTCCATGAGACTGTATGTCTCAGCTGTCCCAATCTGATGCTGGAGTCCTAGGGAATTTTTAGAGGGCTGCTGGTTTTCAGTCCACATTGGAATCCCAAAGAAGTAGGTCTGAATACCAGCCCAGCAAAAGGATGCCTCAGCAACAGAGTAGATGAACTTGTCAGTGAGAGTGAGGGTAAGCAGGCAAAAGCTTCCCTCTTCCACGTCCTTTTGTGTGAGGTGCCACCAGAAGGTGTGACCTAGATTTAGGATAGGTCTTCCTACCTCAAATAATCCAATCAGGAAAATCTCTGATAGGCCTGCCCAGCTGCTTGGGTTTTAGTTGACTCTAAATGTGGTCAAGTGGACAGCCAAGATGAGCCATCATGGCTGTGAAGCATCTGTAGTATTCCATCTTGATTAGGTCAGGCTGGGGGGCTCATCATTATGCATTTATGTTATATGTATCCTCTCTCATTTAGTCCTTGTGATCTTATGATGAATCTCAGCACTATGTAACTTGCTTGGGACCCTTACAGAAGGGAAATGAGAGAGCCGTCTCTAGAGGTTCGTACCCATCTGCCATGTTGTGGAGTATACAGAAAGGATTCCACCCTGGGTGATATGGACAGCAGCACAGCAGTTTGGTTCAATGGACCACTAAAGAAGGGCACTCGGGAATGACTGCCGTGAAGATAATGAGCAGTGATTGACAGGAGGGTCAGGCGAGCTCCGGTTGTCTATATTATCAAGGGATTCATCTCATGTTAGCGATTTCTGCCGATGTTTCACGATTATGAAAATATTAAGAATGGGTAGAGAGAAGCTGCCCTTTCCTCTTCATCTTCAAATCTCTCTCTTCCTTCCTCTCTTTCTTCTACTATTGTTGAGACAGGTTTTTGCTATATCGCTGAGGCTAGTCAGGCTCACAATCATCCTGCCTCAGCCTCAAAAATTCAAAGATTACAAGGATTACATTTTAGAAAACCTTCTTCAATCAGTGTTATGACACAGGGGCAAAGTTCAAGTGCTAAACTACAGGAAACTGGGCCTTTTTCCTTACACCTGGCCGATGTCCAGTGAGGCATATGGTTCTAGGACTCTCAGAAGACATTCCCAGAATAGTGTGGTAGTCAGATGGCCAGCTACTAATCTCAAGCTAATTTGTGATGAGGGGCCACTTCTCAGGAGTGCTGGCCGTCTGTGACCTGCCTACAAAACTCATAGCCATTCCTTCCATCCAGGATATGGCTTCCTGCCAGACACCTCTAAGGAGGGATTATAGCAACCCAGACTTTCTTCCAAAAGCCAGCTAGTCAGCAACGCGAAGTCCGTGGTTGCCTTCAGAACTAGATTCAGAGGGTGATAGGCACATCATGGTGAATGGTTCCCATTATTTTAAAAATAAGGATGGCTTTCACATTTCTTAAAGCCTTGTCATCTGCTTGTCCCTCTAATACTCATAACTTGGTTTCTAGAGATCAAAGTAGGCAGGGTTTTTACAACTCTTCACCCAGCATTCCCGGAACATTTGTTCATATCCACCACTCCTAATGCAAAGGATTTAGAGGGAGCATGTGGAGGACAATATGGAGTGGCAGCTTATGATGGCATTAGAGGCCCAGTCTCCATCTCCAGCCTGTTGAAGAAGTGTCTTGTTTCAGGAGAGCTGCTTATACTGCTCTGTGGGAGATCTTGAAAACTTCTTCCATAGTGTCTGAGCCTATGGGGATTTTTTTTTTTATTTACCTATTCTATAAAATAGTACACCTTTGCTTATTAGCATCCTGTCTATTTGTCTTCGTCTGTTTGTCTTTATTAGCATCCTGTCTGACTGTTTCTTTGTGTGTCTTTTCATATGTTCCTGTTTGTGTGACTATGTACACATATGTGCATATGGAGGCCAGAGGTCAACGTGGGTATCTTTTTTCACTCACAGTCCACCTTATATTTGAAGACAGGGTCTCTCACTGAACCTGGGACTTGCAAATCCCTAGGCTAGCTGGCCAGTGAGATCCAGATATCTACCCACCTCCCTACCCCTGCTCTGGGTCATAGACACATGGGACTCCACCAGCTTTTTACGCTGATGCAGGGGATCCAGACTCAGGTCCTTATGTGTGCACAGTGGGTGCTTTACTGGCTAAGCCGTCCTCCAAAGCCCTTCCTGTCAGTTTTTACTTCTGTTATGTCTTCATGTGACCTGATAGTGGTGATACCAGCTAGAGGGTGGGTTCTTTCTCTCCATCAGTTAAGGTATTAAAATACAGGAAAACAGTACTGTGCAGAAGTATTTGTTGGCAAGCAAGCATTACAGACTTCTCAGGTAGCCAAGGGTTCGCACCTAGTGATTCTCCTCTTCTGTTTCTATTGGTCTAAAGGTGTCTGTGTGTCACTTCTGTAGTAAGGACTGGGTCTTTGTCTCTGTCCATGAACAAGAACCAAGGATCAGGGAGTTAGCTGTGAGATTGTCTCCTAGGATGGCAGAAGCTACGTCCATAAAGCCTCACCAGCACGACTGCCCTCTACCCTCTGTGGGCACCTGTAAGCACTGATACACATAAACTCACAGGAGCACACATACATACACATAAATAGATAACAAATAAATATTTTAATTAAAATATAATAACACCATTTTCTTCCTTCCCTTTTCTTCCTCCAAAATATAAATATTCTTTTAAGTCCACAAAGAATTATAAACTTACTGCTGCTGGGAGAAAAAAACCTCTTAAACTGGGTCCGTTATGTTCCTCCTTCTATATCCTAAGGGGTCCATAGCCTCAGTAGAATGGCTGCCTTCTTTTCTTAGGCAAAATTGGATGTTTGGTACTTTCCCAGGCGTTTAAAACTGAGTGAGCCTCAGAAATTGCAGGAATGCCTCAGTCATAAAGAGCAGCGCTACAGGAGATGCAAAGATCGTTGCACTGTTGCTGCCGTTGAGTTAACGTGTGCCGCAACCAGCATCGAGGCTCCCTTCAGTGTCTGTTGGTGCAGCCTGCCTTGCAAATGGCTCAAAACCTGGAGGGCTTTTGACGTAGGTGGAGGCTGAGACACTCGGGAACCTACAGAGTGCCAGAGAAAGGGTTGAGAGCAGTACTTAGGCAGGCACCAACACATCCCTTGGCTAGAGAGGTGCCTCCCATGGGACATCAGCACAGAAAATGGTAAAGCAACACTTCGGGGAGTCGGCTGGAAGAGCCTTGCCCTCTGGCTCTACCTGTGCATTTGCTGAATTCTCCTTTGATGGGGAGTTTCTTAGACTTTTCCCCTTCCAGAGACGGACAGCCCCCAAGTGAGGGGCAATTCCCTGGGCTCTGTCTTTTTGGGTGCTCCTCTGTGTGGACGGTAGAAAAGGCAGCAGTTGACTGTCCTGAGGGGTGGCGGGGGCAATGGAAGCAGCCAGTGTCCCACTGTGAACCTTCCTCAGGGTGGTGAGGGGTGGTGACACTTGTGTGGTGAGTAACGGGCGAGTGTTCTGCATTCTGTCCCTCAGGTGCACCAGTACTACAGCTGCCTTCCGGAAGAGAAAGTCCCTTATGTCAACAGTCCTGGAGAGAAATTGCGAATCAAGCAGCTACTGCACCAGCTCCCTCCCCATGACAATGAGGTAAGGTGTTTGGAGGGAGCTTCTGGTAGGTTGCCCCTTTTCCTAATCATTGTGATCAGTAAGATTGCTGAAGGGGGAAAGAAAAACCTTCTGGCAATTAATATTAAATTTTAGCTTCCTTAATTAGAATCTTAAGCTGGCCGGTAATTTTGGAGAGCACTTCTCACCCTACCCCTCAAAGAAAACCAGTCTCACCCTGGACTGGGTTAGACTCCAAGCCTGGCATGACTGACTAGCACAGAAAACAGGGAGCCACTGTTGGGAAGCGCGGGCCAGGGTTTTCTGACTGGAATGTGTTCTTCCAGTTGTTGTGGGAGTTGGGAGCATGACTAAGGGCCACTTCCTACCCAGAAGAAGCACTGTGAGTCTCTCAGGTTTTCAGGATTGTTTCCTAAGAAGTGAGTGTGCAAGTTCTTCAGGTCGAGGGCAGCCAAAGGTTCAGGTCTAGACTGGCAGCTTTCACCAGGACGCTTGTCGAGCCAGAGTCCACCTTGTTAGTCAACCATCTGTATTTTGAAAGTAGTGTGGATGTGGACATTCCTTTTTTTCTAATTCCAGAAACACAGCTCGGTAAGCAAGCATTTATTTATTTGATTCTGAGTTTGAGTTTTCGAGACTGGCTTTCACTTCAGCCAGGATAACTTGAAATGCTCTCAGCAGCTCAGTGAACTCTCAGACCTCCTCTTCCCAAGTGCTGGGTGCAGCTGACTGTTACATCTACAGCTGGGCTACAGACGAGCTACCATGCCTGATCAGCATTACTTATTATTGAAATCACATTGATCCTAAAGAACAAATCTGTAAGCAAACTTTTAAAAGATCATGTGGGAGGAAAATAGGTTTCTAAGCTGGAAATTAATTTGGAGGTATCTGGTTTCAAAACCAAAAATCCTACAGATTTGCACTATTTAGCTCCATATTTAAAACAAAAGCATAATTTTTAAATTGAAAGAAAAAAATTATCCCTGCAGAGAGCTGGACACTAGTTCCGACCAACCCATCACATACATGGGCTGAGTCTCAGATGACATATTTACATAAAAGGGTTTTTTTTACATTTTTATGGTGTATGTGTATACTGTGTGTGTGTGTGTGTGTGTGTGTGTGTGTGTGTGTGTGTGTAAAATGCTCAGATACCACAGCATGTATGTGAAGGTCAGAGAACAACCTGTGGGAATTGGTTTTCTCTTTCCTCCATGTGGGTTCTGAGGATCAAACTCAAGTTCAGAAGATTATGTTTTGCAGCAAGCACATCTACCTCCTGAGCCATTTTGCTGGCCCAAATGGAGACAATTTGAGCTGCTAATGCTGAGAAACTTAGAATGTAGATCCTGGTCCAGCCCTTGTCCAGCATGTGCCAAGCTCTGGGTTTAATCCTCAGTACTGCAAAACTAAACATATGAATCTGAATAAGTGAGACAACGTCTCAAAAACTGAAGCAGCTACCTAGAAAGCTGCTCTTCTCTCTCCTACTGCTTATTTCAGAGTTCATAAAACAAATACAAAAGTTGACTCCTTTAAAGATGAAAGCAAGCATTGTAACCAGATGCCTGGATAACTAATCTGGGGGGTGAAAATGCAAGTTTTTACAAGCAGGAGGGGTGTGCCTGTTTTTAAAAGCATGCCCATAAAATATCATCGGTGCAACCATGTTTTCTGGGCTGTTAGATTTCTGGAACATTCCCCTGAAGACTTTTTTTTTTAAACTATCACTTGAGGGAGGGAAATGATCTGCCCTATGCTTGTAGTGGTTCACTTTTTTTATGGTTAACTGTGCCTTCATTAAATAGACACCATTTGGATTATGACTCCATGTTGGTAGAATGTGATACATGAAAGCCAGTGGGCAAGATTTGCTCATTTGACGTGGTGACATGGCCTCTTTTGAAGGCAGAGGTTGACTCTAAAGCAGATACTTAATTGTTCTCTTTTCATTGAGATAGCACAATTTGAATAGACACAGTTGCTCTGCCTTTTGGATTAGCACACAACAGCCCTAGTTGAAAGCTTTTCTTGTTATTTTCTTTACGGAAAGTTGTCTGAGCAATGCAGTCAACAGTTCTGATATCTGGATCACTCCAGAAGAAATCATGAGCTGCATGGAACCACATTTCCCAAAGAAAGATAAAAGCATGGCTTGGGGTGGGATGTGAGCATGGCAATAAATGAAATGGACTCTGTAACAAGAGCTTATTTCCTTTTAAATCACATTTCGTCTTTGTGCTGGGACAAGGAGGAAGTCTCAGCCTGGTCCTGGAGGGTATCCTAACACCACTGCAGGCCATTCTGTTCTCCCATTGACAGTAAGCACATCAGTTTTAGCATCTCCTGAAGATGCAGTGGTCGGCTGGGATCTAACAGTATGGTTTTGTTCTGTTTGAGAGTTACCTTCCCATCTTTGCTGGTGACTGACTCTTCTTTATGTAGTCATAACCTGTCTTCCTTTTAAATAAATGCATCCAAGTTTCTTAAAGTGAGTCACATTTAAAACTAGCATTAATAAATAATAGTTCAGGATCATGGCACAATCACCAAAGTGCAGAAACAATGGAACAGAATGGCAGATCCTGGATGCAGATGCCTTTCCTGTCCCTCCCTTCATTCTTTGACACTTGTGTTTTAAAAAGAAGGAAGTCTCTTTCTCATATTGTCCCATTAGCAGGAGTCCAGACAAGTATCTGCCTATTCTCACTTCCCAAAGCAGGATGGAGGACAGATGATATATATGTGCTGACAGACAGATCGGGGCCATTCTTGGTACAGGGCTCATTCACATAGACATGGACACACGAAACCTGCAGCTCCTTACAGTTTGTAAGGAGAATGTTCCAGGAAGTTGCCAGCTCTGAGCTACTCTTGGTGACTTAGATCTGAGTGTGGGAACAGTGTGAAGGGTGAGGAGCAGTTCTAGAATGTCTCTCCCTCCTGAGGCGTGGACTCCAGAGTTCACAACCTGTAGCAATCCCCTTTGCTTAGCACCCATCTTGGTGCTGGCTCTCCTTAGGTACCTCCAGGCTGTGAGTGGGGACTTCAGTATTTCCCCTGGAGTAATGGAGCCTCCTCCCTTCTTTCCTCTGTGTGTTCAGGTTCGATACTGCAACTCCCTGGATGAGGAAGAGAAGAGGGAGCTGAAGCTATTCAGCAACCAGAGGAAACGTGAGAACTTGGGCCGAGGAAATGTCAGGCCCTTCCCTGTTACCATGACAGGAGCAATTTGTGAACAGGTAAGGATGGACTGGGGCAGGGAAGAAGCTCATTCTACAGTTATTGTATTAAATGCCTGTTATGTGCTCAGCCCTCTTTTAGGCCTTGAAGATATAGCAGTGAGCAAAAGACATGAGAACTTAGTCTTTTTCATGTAAAGAACTGTGCACCAGGAGAAGTCATACAATAAATCAAATCAGTAAAACTGCAGCAGAGAGGGGCTAGGAAAGACTAGGAAGGTGTGATGGCTGCAGTCTTAAGGGTCCTAGAAGACCCCACTGAGAAGGTGGCATCTGGAGCAAAGGCATGTAGAGATGTGCGGAAGAGGCATGCAGATCTTGAACATGAGAAAGAGCTAGCATGGAGGCCTTAAGGCAGAAGGGTAGCTCCTGGGGACAAACGAAAAACAGCAGCCTGTGGCTGCATCAGGAGGATTAAAGGGCAGAGATGTGCAGATGTGCAGAGTTCATGGAGAGCTGCATAAATGACTGGAAGGACCAGACAGTGTCACAGCTTCATCCTTTGGAAGGCTCCCTTTGAAAATAGAGTTATCTGGACCATGGATCAGTCTCTCATCCAGGATCATCCCAACATGGATGACCTTTAAAGGGATGGTGTGAGGGAGGACACCTGAATTTATTCTGAGTTTGAAGGTTCTTTTGCAAAGTCTGAGAGACCCCATGCCACCTCCTTGGGACCTCATTGAGTTGAACGATCTAGATTTACCTTTTACCTCCTCTGCTGTAGCACGCTTAGGGTGTGGTAGAGGAAAGTGCCTAAGAAGGACAGGTATGTCACCTGCCTGGACCAGCATCACCTCATTCCTGCTCTCCAGAGAAGACCACCATGTCTCACCCTTCTCTAAATCTTCCTAGGCTTTGTGCAGCTCCGTCTAACTCAATCTCTGGGTGGCAGGCCAGCCGGGGCGGGAAGAGGAAGCTGGAGACTAGTTGAGAGGGGCAGGTAGTTTTAAACTCTCATTTTGAGATTTCAACAGGAACAAATGGCAGAATCTGGTAGATGGGGGGCGAAGTGACTTGACCCAAGAGGGGGCAGTGGATCATCATTCCTGGAAAGAATCCTGGAGACTAAGTCCTGAGATGCGAGTGATTGGTGTTTGTGGTCTGAGATTGACCGCTCAATTCAGTGCTCACCCACTCTCAGATCAGCCCCCTCATGAATAGGGATTGCCTAAAGGGGAAGAAAAGCTGGGCCCACATCTGTGCAGAACATTGTCAGGAGTGTTGAAGAGAAAGGCGTTCTATAACAAACGTTGTAACACCTTTGGGAGGGGGATTAGATATGATTATGTGTGTGGATACTTTAGCCGTTCTTTCATAATCATGGAGGGTGGGTTGGTGCCTTCTATATTGTGACCTCACACACACAAGCTACCAGAAACCTTTCCTCAAGTCTGGGCTCTCATTCAGTAGATCATATTAATTCCCACAAAATCCGCGCCGGGAGAAGGGTTTGGAGCCCCTTTTGTTACTCATTAGTCATTGTCTGTGGAGCTCATCCACCTGTGAGGGCCATTCTGCTAGACACAGGTCATGACCTCATGGCCAATGCCGTGGTGAACAGAGAGCAACTTTGTAAACCCACTCCTCCTTCCTCCAAGACCCTCAGAACATAACTCTGTATTCTAACCCCAGCTGTAAGCATGAGCCATCTGTGACTTCGGCCTTGTATATCCTGGGCTTAAAAAGTGGTACCTTTTAATCAAGATTATATGAAGAGATGATGTAGAGAGCTAAAAAGCATGCCTGAAAGGCATAGGGAAGAGGCAGAAGCTATTTAAGACTGAGTTGATTTTATGTGCCCATTCTCCTCCCACTCAGTAGTGCAGGACCCCACCCCAGCCAAGCCCTATCTCTGTAGCCTTCCCTGCTGGTGTTAACATGATACCTCTGCATGAACTTTGGGATATGGAGGAGATGATTAGGCCTTTTTCCCTCCATGCTCTACATGTTGGTTTGGTGCCTGTAGATCCCCCCTGTATACCCCCATACTGAGAAACCATCCCACACCTTTATGTTTCTCATTCTCTGTTGTTTAAATTGTCTTACTTAGGCCCTGGGGTGGGGGCTCCTGGGAAGAATGAAATATATCTGCCCTACCAGGTATGTAAAGCGGGAGACACAGTAACTAGTGTGCATATAATGCCCTAGTAACTAGCTGTTGGTAGCAGCTAGATGTCGTCCTTTTACAGTTGTGAGAGCTACAGCTGATGTTGGTGCTGTTTCTGTTTGCCTCACAGTGCGGAGGACAGATTAAGGGCGGGGACATCGCTGTGTTCGCATCACGTGCTGGCCATGGCATCTGCTGGCATCCACCCTGCTTTATATGCACTGTCTGCAATGAGCTTTTGGTTGACTTGATCTACTTTTACCAAGATGGGAAGATCTACTGTGGTAGGCACCATGCTGAGTGCCTGAAGCCGCGCTGTGCAGCCTGTGACGAGGTCAGAGCCCCATTTATGTGTGAATACTTTAACTTTTCTGGTATATTCATGGAAGGTAGGGGTGGCATCTTCAGCATCATGATGTCTCTGCCTCTCTCTCTCTCTCTCTCTCTCTCTCTCTCTCTCTCTCTCTCTCTCTCTCTCTCTCTCTGTCTGTCTCTCTTTAAGTGTCTGTCTGTCTCTCTGTCTCTGTCTCTGTCTCTCTGTCTCTCTCTGTCTGTCTCTGTCTCTCTCTCTCTCTCTCTGTTTCTCTCTCTCTCTCTCTCTCTCTCTCTCTCTCACACACACACACACACACACACACACACACACACACACACAGACACAGAGTCTCCCATAGACTATTCCCAGTATCCTTACCCTGCCCCACCATCCCTCTGTTGCACCAAAGCATGACATATGCTCACGGCCTTCAGCTTCCCATATGGGGAAACAGCCATATGTGACTCTACCCTCTTATGCCAACCCTTTCCAGAGAAAAACATCACCCGTGTCCCAATCATGGTGGATCTGGCAACTGGCACATGACCTACCATACTCATCATGGTGAATTAAGAGTCTCCCGTGTAGGAATAGGGTGAGGAACCACACACTACAAGCACAGAAATTCTCAAATGGCATGCAGCTAGCACTGGACCTCTTACAGTTAAACATACAAACACACACACACACACACACACACACACACACACACAAATAAATAAAAATATAAAGTAAAGAAGCCACTGAGCAACTTTAGATTCCAACTAAAAATCTGGAAAGTCCACATCAGAAATAGAGCTCCACTTCTAGAAGAGTCTCTGGAACAATTGGTTAGAGAGGGGGAAAAATGGGTAGTGGTGTTTGGTTTTTGTTTTTGTTTTTTTTTCCCCACAAGTTTTAGAGGTCAGTGGATAGCTATCTGGATGTTTCCACCCCTGGCATGACAGGTGTTTGAAAGCATTGTGGTAAGAAATCAGAACAGCATAAAGATCCCTGCTTGCCATTTTTCCCCCACCAGCAGCATACCCAAGTTATATGTGACCATTTCACCACAGAGTAGAAAGCTTGCGTTCGCTGTGGAAGCTGAGAGCAGAAACAAGTGTGTTCTAAACCTGACCCCTTATAGGAATCATTTAGGGCAGTGATTCTCAACCTTCCTAATGCTACAACCCTTTAATACAGTTCTTCATGTTGTGGTGACCTCCCTCCCCCCACAACCATAAAATTATTTTACTGCTATTTCATAACTGTAATTTTGTTACTGTTGCAAATCAATAATCTGATATGCGACCGCTAAGGGGCCGTGACCCACAGGTTGAGAACCACTGATTTAGGGGACAGTCTTAGAAGGCATACCAATTCCCAGAGTAGCTCTGTGCTTCTGTCTGAACTTATAGACAGCAGTCTGGAGGCAGCACTCTGTCTGCCAGATCTATCAGGACAAGGCCATTTGTCCCTTCAAACTGCCTGAGGGTTCCACTTTTTATAGAGACTGGGTGAGCCTTCACTAATGTGGATTCTGATAGTAACGTTGAGATGCTTGACCCTCTCTCTGGCCCTTGCTGAAAAACTGAATACAGGTCAAACTCTGGGACTCTAGGCAGCCTCTTCGCCTTCTGCCTCAGGTACACAAGTGCACATTCACAAAGTTGAACAAGCGTCACTACTCCCTGATCCCACGTCATGTTCAGCAACCAAAAATCAGTACCCTGCTCCACTAGATGCTCTTGTCTTCTGCTAAGCCCTCCTCCCAGCCTTGGCCCCTGTCTCTGGGTTCATGAGGGCTAACATCTCACATGAATGAAGTCATATGATGTTTCCTTTTGCCTCTGGCGTCTTCCACCCAGCATGATGGTTTCAAAGTCAATTTCTGTTGTCGTAAATATTAGCACTTCATTCCTTTTCATGGCTGAGCATGAATTACATAACTCTACATGAACAGTTTTATGTGTACATTTGGCTTTGCCATTTACCAATTGATGGGCATTTGTTTCTACTTTTTCCTGTGATGAACAATGCTACTTATGAACATTGATATGTAAGTTTCTAGGTACACATGAATTTTAAATTTTGAATGTTTTTTCATGGTAATTCTAAGCCTAACTTTTGAAGGAAGGCCAAAGTATCTTCTAAAACAGCTTCCCCACTTTCCATGCTTATTGTCAAAGTAAGACAATTCCAGCTCTCATGCATTCTCTTTAATTCTTATAATTGTATTCTTTTTTATTATAGCCAACCTAATAGGTATAAAATAATACCACAGTGATATTTTAATTCATAATTTTCTAACCACTAATAATGTTGAGTACCTTTTAAATACTTTTGTCTACTTGTTTATTAATTTTGGGGGGAGAATTGTGGGTTGAAAGCCTTTGCTCATTTTTCACAGTTGGACTAGCTTTTTTCTACTTGTGAGGGTCACTCATATGATCTGGACATGAGTCCATTGTCAGATACATGGTTCACACATATGATCTCCCATTCTCTGTATTTTTACTTTCTTCTTGATATCCTTCAAAGCATAAACGTTTTTAATTTTGACGTCCTTATGATGGATTATTTACATGTTGTTATATACATTTGTGTTGCCATGTCTTTGAAACCATTGCATAGACCAAGGTCAAGAAGACTGACAACTATAGTTTCTTTTAAGAACTTCATCACTTTTTCCCCATTAGGTCATTGATCCCCTTTCAGTTCATTCTTGTTTATGGTGAGAGGTGGGGATTCAACTGATAGTTTTACATGAGACTCCCAATTGTCCCAGCCCTATTTGTTAGAGACTATTCGTGTACCATAGTATACTCTTAGCACCACCTTTGACAAGCAAATGCCATACATATACACATCCTCCCTCTCTCTCTCTCTCTCTCTCTCTCTCTCTCTCTCTCTCTCTCTCTCTCTCTCTATTTCTGGACTCTCAATTCAGAGAATTCGTCCATATGTTAATTTTTATGGTAGTACCACACTAAACTGATTATTATAGCAGCATAATAATTTTTGGAGTCTATGCTTTGAAGTTTAAAACAACTCTGGTAGGTCAGAACATAAAACACTTCCCAGGGCCAGGAAGGCATTCGATGTGAAGATGACCAATTCTGCACACTGAGAAGTGTTAAAGAGCATGACTAGCTGGCCAACTGGCCACTCATCTAGAAGCAGCAGTCACTTTTCTTAGCTGAAGATTATTATCATACATCCATGCATTTCCAAGCATTGGAATTTTATGTTTTCAAGAAGAAAAAGAAGAGAGTTCCAAGGATTCAGATGACATTCCCCACTTTAGAAAACACAGTGCCTCAGCCAGATGACACTGCTGTGTGGAAGCTATTCCTTATCTTGCTTTATGTTCCCCAAGGTAGGACATTCGCTCTCCCTTGAAATGTGGCACCTGTATTTTAATTGTGCTTCAGGCAGATGACGTGGTGGAGCCTTGTGGATATATGGAATAAGCCTACCTATATATGCAGAGTTCTTTGGCAGTCTGGGGGTCACGCCTGCCTTCTTACCTGTGTAGTTCGGGGCTCTCACTTTGTCCAGCGTATCGTCACAGTGAGTCTTGGACACTAACCCCGCGGCTTCCTGTCTCCAGATCATCTTTGCAGATGAGTGCACAGAAGCTGAGGGGCGGCACTGGCACATGAGACATTTCTGCTGCTTCGAGTGTGAGACCGTGCTGGGCGGCCAGCGCTACATCATGAAGGAGGGCAGGCCCTACTGCTGCCACTGCTTCGAGTCCCTGTATGCGAGTATTGCGACACCTGTGCCCAACATATAGGTAAGGCCGTACGCGGCACTCCGCTTGATCCTCCCTAGATGGGCTCCACCCTGTGTCTGGCATAGCTCGAATCCCTTTGGTTACAGCTAACTAACTCCTACCGGCTTCAGGGAAAAGGAATTTCTTGGCTCATTTTATTAGAAAATCCAAAGAGTATTTGGCTTCAGGTAGAGGTAGATGAAGGGTTTAAGAAAAAAAAAAAAAAAAAGCACCGGTTATTTTGTTTTTCTCTGTGTCAGCTCAGTTTGCCTTCTATTGGCATCTTTTTGGGAGCAAACGAGCTTCACATGGTGATTGAAATGTCGCTCCAGTCACGCCTAGTCTTAACATGTGTGTTCTCAAAAGGAGGAAGAAATTGACACACCAATTTCCAAGTCCTCTGGATGGAATCTTATCAGTTCTGAGTTGGCTGTGGATCTGCCTTCAAGTGGGACTTTGTCGTATGGTTTTCAGGGAAAAGTGTGAAGCCCCAAAAGGAAAATGTGGGGGAAATGAACATATCCCTAGATGACGTTTTAGACAAAATCAGGAATGGGCAAGGGGAAGAACGGGGGCGGGGTCCTTTGGTAATGAGGGATGGTCACTGGCTTCCAGCGAGTGTGTCTTCTAGAAACTCAACAGCCGTGAGCCTAGCCAAAGGCAGAGCAAAACAGTCTATGAGCTGTGTGCTCCCAGTTCGTAGCAGATTGGAGGCGAAGAGAATCATCCCCTTTCGTTCAGCCCTTCTGCTTCAGTGGCCCAGCTTTTGCCTTCCTTGCTTCTGCTGGTGCCTTGGGAATGAGCAACATTGTTTGAGAAATGGTGACAATGGACAAATGTCTATGGCCTTTCTGGGGTCACAAAACTCCAAGACACCTGTTTAGGAGCTGCCAATGTCACACCTGCAGTGAGGAGATGTGGAGATCCTCCATTCATGACTCCATTTTGCTCCATGGAGCTTTTGTAAGGATGCAAAAGAAGCAGTCTTTTCCCTGGGCTTCATCAGAAATGAAAGATTTAACATTGCCTTCTGGACTTAGGTGATGGCAAAGCCCTTTCCCCAAAGTGCCCTTCCCTCTCACCAAATGCCACCTTGACCAGGTGCCCAGAAACCTTTCTGTTTACAGGATTGTCCCATTCAGACATGCTGATGTTCTTTGGTGCTTTGAATTAGGAAATAGGGGACTGAATTGTAACTGGGCGTGTCAGGCGGGGAAGTGGGTGGGACCAGAGCAGAGACAGTGGTGCATTGTGTTGACTCCAGGCTGTGACTGGGTAGGTTTAAGACTGCTTGTCAGTGCTTACTCAGGTGGGAGAGACTGAGTGTTAGAAACTTAACCCACAGCAGCAACACCATCTACACCACCTTCTGATAGCTTTTCTGTGCCCTTTCCCTTTCCACAGAGGCCACAAGCCTAGCCACAAATGACTACTTAGAGTTTTCTCCCAGAAGCTTGGGAGAGAAAACTCTGTTTATGACTAGCTCATGTGTACCTCAAACGGCCCCTCCGTCTTCTGTCTTCTTCCAGCTGTCCACAGCTTTTATTGGCATCCTCCTCTCCTCTTGAATCCATAAAAGGCATCCATCCATATTTTACTAGAAAAGGTGACTGCTGTGGTCTGCAGTCTGTCTGCTGCTATAGTTAAGTTGCTGTCCCTAATTTTTTTTAAAGTCTACTTCTCTGCTGCGTGTATCATGTATACCCCAGCCATCAATGCCACACCTCTGCCCATACTATACAAATATTCCATATTTATGCAGCTGCTCAGAGCAGATCCTACATCAGGCAACCGTTACCAAGGCAACAGGACTCTTGCTTATGCATAGCAGAGTAAACAGTCTTATAAACAGATGAGGCTGTGGTGGCAGCAGATGCATGCTCCTTTAGAGAAGAGCTTAAAGGCCTTAGAGGGGGGATTTTTTTTTTTAAAGGCATGCTTAGATGTTGAACACAGAGCCCTTCTCCAGATGTTTGGAGTTCAGGAGCAGTTCAGAGGGCCATCTGACATCGATGATGTTTATCAGAGGCAGTGTTCAGCGGCCTGCCTGGCTGCTTTGTGATTTGCCTCCCCTTCACCCCCCCCCCCCCCCCCACTTCCCCACCCTATCCTCTGAAGCCCCGTTCCAGAAAGCTTGGCCTTCCTCTGACACCTCTGAGCACATTCCCTTGAGGCACGATGGTGGACAGGGCAGAAGACCCACCCTTCCAAGTTCTCTGGTGGAGAGTGGGCAGAGATACAGCTGTGGGATACCACACCAAATAACTGCGTGTCGTCAATGATCCTGGGCAGCCGAAGATACCAAAATGAGCTCTAGAGACTCTTGACACAGAGGAAAAAAAACTGCAGAGGAGGAAAGAGAAGCCATATGGTCTCGGGGGTTGCTTTTGGACAGCATCTAGGGCAGTGGCCCTCTGCAAAGAGAAAACTAGGATTTCAGACCTGGTAAAACTGAAGGAAAGACAGTTTCAATAGCTAGCAAGCTGGGACTAAGCCCTCTCCATAGTCACTCGCCACAGCCTAGTTTCATCTCTGTGCTTGTGCTGGGGAAAGCAAGGCCTAGAGTTGAAGCCACTTACCTGGACCCACGCTGACGGAAAGCACAGAACGAAGATTCAAACCCAGCAGAGGGGCTCTAGTGACTTTACAGCCCCGTGGAAGTGGCGAAGCTGGATGGGCTTCACTCTCATTTCTCTGCGTCCCTATACAGCCCATTGCTTCCCCCAGAGGCCTGGGCAGAAGCACTAGCTGGAGCCCCAGCTTAGAGATGTCCGTTTCCAGCCTCACCCCAGCTTCGCATCCTCAATCTCCCTGGGGATGCTGGTGGTCATGGGGGCAGAGTCGAGTCACACAGTGGCCTTCTCAAATGCGGTGGCCATGTAACAGCTCTTGTCCTCATGAAGTTTCCCTCTTTGTTGTCCCTGGGGATTAGTGCCTAAGTGAAGAGACACTTCCTGCCCCAGTTTGGAGAACATCTAGTAAGAGAAGAATTTGCCTTCTACCTACCTGTCCTTGGGATCTAGTAACACAAAAGCCAATAGAGTCGGCTAAGAACAAGCTGCTTTCCTACAGCACTTGGGTCCCAGCAATCACTGCCTTCTCAGTTCTTGGCTGACTCATCTCTAGACAGGTGTCTGGAAGTCACACCTTGAAAATCCAGGCTGTGGAACTCTGGCCACTAAAAGTGGAGGTTCATTTTAGTGCTGTTTTCCTGGGGAGACCTTTATCATCACATACTGGCAGTCTTATGAGATCTGTTCCTGCCCATGGGAATCCTGAGGATCTGTATTCTAATAGGCTGTCCCCAGGGCAGGGACTCCAACTGCATGCTTATCGCCTATTATACCACTCTTCGAAGCCCCATGTAACCCTGTCATTGCCCTGTTACTGGTTATGAGCCATCCCTAGACCAGACCCCAGGACTAGGAGACACTGTGAACTACTTAGCCAAGATTCGTGCCAAGGGTGGTTTCAGTGTCCCAAGTTAATGACTTGGCATAGAGATGGCATCCTCAAGGATAGTACCCTCTTTCCATCAAAAGAGGGCAGAGGAACTACTAAGAAGCAAGAGCAGAATGAAGGGATGTTCCCTAGCACATAGGACCATGACAGCAGAGTCCTACCATGGAGGAACTGTGCCTCCTCCTTTCCTGATGACATTGGGTGCAGGTTGTGTGCAATGGAATGACAATGTGTTTTACAAACATACCCATAGTTTTTCCTTACCAACAGCAAGCAGGGTTTCCCCCACTGAGAGCTGAAGTCCCCTTCTTGCCTTTCCACTGACTTAGTCTATTCAGAACCATAGGCTTCTAAACAGTGCATACATTTCTCACAGTTCTGGTGGATGTGAAGGCCATGGTCAAGGACCTGACAGATTTGGTGTCTGCAAAGATCTACTTTCTGGATCAGAGCTGACATCTTTCCATGTCCCCACATGGCAGAGGGGATGAGCAAACTTTCTGGGTCTCTTTTGCAAGGATATTGATTCCTTCATATGGACAGAACCTTCATGATCTAACTAGATCCTACTTCCTAATACTAGTGTGGTTGGTATTAGGAATTGAGCATAGAGTTTGAGGGAGAAACAGATACTCACACTATGGCATCCAACAAGCAGCTGCTGTAACTGCCCTGTGGTTGACCATGAGTGGTTATACAGGTCATCTATCCATCTATCAAAGTAGGAAGAACTATCACACAGGCCCTGGAGACACCATGAAAACTTCTGACCCTGTCTCCATAAAGCACCACTTTCTGTGAAACCTGTAAGTGCAGATGATGGCGTGATGGAAAGTATTGATACTATAATTAAAGTGGAGAAGCAACCAAGGCTACCCTTGGCAGTGGACAAGAAGACTCTTGAGACAGCTCAGCAGGTTCCTGAATAGAGTAAAGAGGACAGGACTGTTAGGATAGTTCAGAGCAAGACTTCTGAGTACAGCTCTGGTCTCTGATGCCTAATTATATTACTTTAGGCAAGTCATTAGCCTTCTGTGTCTGCATTTCCTCATCTGGAAAACGAAACACTGGTAGAAACTCACCTCAAACAGTCAAGTGCTTTATCAGGCTAGTACTATCACAGATTGAATATCCCTTAGCTGGGAGCAGAATTAGTTCAGCCTTTAGAACCATACATGTCTATAATGAGATACTTGAGGGATAGGATACAAGTCTAAACATGGAACTCATTTATATTTCCTATAGAGCTTATGCATATAATCTCAAGATGCTTTTATATGACACCTTAAATACTTTTATGTACGAAGCAATTTTATTATACAGAATTTTCTGCTTGCAGCATTTTGTTGACACCAAAATTTTGGCTTTTGAAGCATTTTGAGTTTGGATTTTTCGATTAAGGATGCTCAACTTCTGTTGCTATTTGGGGAAAGTGTGTCTCTGGCAGAATTCATGGCTAAGCTGTTCTGATCTACATTCTCCATGCTGCTAGCAAGGGAAGTTGAGAAGTCCGCTGACTAGTAGAATAAGTTGTAACAGGGTGTGGGCACTGACTGCACAGCGCCTGATCATGGAGCGACTGATAAAGTGTTTTTTTGTTTTTGTTTTTGTTTTTGCTGTGATGTTTCATGTGGTGGTGTAGGGCTCGGTACAGCTCCTCAGCTTCCTTTCTGTCTCTTGCTTCCCAGGGATCGACCAAGGTCAGATGACCTATGACGGCCAACACTGGCATGCTACAGAGACCTGTTTCTGCTGCGCTCATTGTAAGAAGTCCCTCTTGGGGCGACCGTTCCTCCCAAAGCAGGGCCAGATATTCTGCTCACGGGCCTGCAGTGCCGGGGAGGACCCAAATGGCTCTGACTCCTCTGATTCGGCCTTCCAGAACGCCAGAGCCAAAGAGTCTCGCCGCAGTGCCAAAATCGGCAAGAACAAAGGCAAAACAGAGGAGGCCATGCTGAGCCCGCACAACCAGCTGCAGGTGAGTTCAAACCGGCTCTCAGCTGATGTGGACCCCCTGTCAGTGCAGATGGATCTCCTCAGCCTATCTAGCCAGACGCCCAGCCTCAACCGGGACCCCATTTGGAGAAGCCGGGATGAGCCCTTCCATTATGGGAACAAGATGGAACAGAACCAATCCCAGAGTCCTTTGCAGCTCCTCAGCCAGTGCAACATCAGAACTTCCTACGGTCCAGGTGGGCAGGGAGCAGGAGCCCAGCCTGACGTGTGGGCCAAGCACTTCAGCAACCCCAAGAGAAGCTCGTCAATGGCCATGAAGGGGCATGGTGGCAGCTTTATCCAGGAATGCCGTGAGGACTATTACCCAGGGAGGCTGATGTCCCAGGAGAGCTACAGCGATATGTCCAGCCAAAGCTTTAGTGAAACCCGAGGCAGCATCCCAGTTCCCAAGTATGAGGAGGAGGAGGAGGAAGAGGAAGAAGAAGGTGGCATATCTACGCAGCAGTGCCGGCCCCGACGTCCACTCAGTTCCCTGAAATACACAGAGGACATGACGCCCACAGAACAGACTCCTCGTGGCTCGATGGAATCACTGGCCCTGTCGAATGCAACAGGTAGGTTGGTCCTGGGTAATACAGTGTTTTTCTATGCAATGCCCTCCTCCAGCTGGCCGCTGAGGAAAGCTAACCCAAGTGTCAGATAGCTTCGCTCTTTGATGGAATATAGAGAACGTCTGAGTCCAAAGTCTGGATGCCTGTGAAACATGGGAAGTTTAGGGATGGGCAGATACTCCCTGGAGGAGGGGAGGAGCCAAGTCAGGAATGGCATCTCCTCTGGGGTTTGGCTTCAGCTTGTCCCCTGGGGCTCTGGAGATTCTGTGGCAGGTTGATTTCTTCTGGTGACATTCAGACTGATGTGTCAGCCTACCATGCCCACCTATCATTGCCTTTGGCTGCTAAAGAGCGGGATTGTGTGTATATGTGGGGGGAGTATGACAAAGTTGGAGGGCTGGCCACAGGTAAGGCATCATATTGGCCACCAGCATTCATGAGAAAGAATAGCTATAAGATGGATGTATTTACCACACACCTGGGATGCAAGTGTCCCAGCCTAGTGTTGCTTGAGGAACCCAGTTTCCAGGGGTTTTCTGAACCCCAGTATTTTGAAATATACAAATAAACATGTAAGATAGATTATACACACACACACACACACACACACACACACACACAGAGAGATGAGGAGGAAAGCTGACTAAAATGGACAGGATGTAGGTAGACCATCTCAGGGTACTGTCTCTAACATCTTTCCAGCTGGCTGTAGAGATAAGATAGTTGCCTAAGATGACCATGGCTTTAATATCCATGTGCCCATTCTATGTGCTTGTCTTACTGATCAGGGTATGTAAACCAGCCAGAGTACTGCTTAAGACTCAACCGGTGAGTCATTTGTTAGGAGTGTTTCAGTCAAGCTCAGCAGAGCCACGTGTTAGTCTATCCCTTGGTAAGAATGCTCCAGGATGTACTCAGTGTCTGTCTCTAGTAGCAGAGAATCAGAGTCACATGTGTACCTTCATAGCAGGTCCCACAGTCAAAGATGTGTCTGGGACCTACAGCATTTTGACATTGAAGCGTACTTGGACTGTGAATAGGGGTGGTAAACTCCGTTAGTCCCATCTGATGGGCTCAGCTGCTGCTCAGCCCCAGCCACCAGTTATCATAAACATGAATATTTTAGCTAATGCATACGGTTCTTACCACATGCCAACCCTACCACATGTCAACCATTGTTCTGGGCACAACACAGATATTAGCTATTAATTAAGTTGTCACAACACTGCAAGGGAAACATATCATTATTCTTATTTCTGAGTAGGAAAATCAGAACCAGAAAGTTTGAGAATTACCCGGCTTTTTTAAATTAATTAAATTTGCCCTTTGACAATTTCGTAAATGTGCATAGTGTATTCTGATTACTCTCCTGCCCAACCTCTCTTCTCCCTCCATACCTGTTCACTTCCCCTCCTCCCAGTAGGTCCCTTTTCCACATTTGTGTCTTTTTGTTTTGTTTTGAGACCCACTGAGTTTTAACCAGGACTGTCTGAGTGACCATGAGCACAGGACCATCCAATGGAGCTTGGTGGGCACACATGCAAAGACAATGACTCCCCATCCTTCCAAAACCATCAGTAGCTAATAGCTCAGCCGGGAGGAGTAGGGCCTGCATGACCCCGCCCACCCAAGCTTGGCTATTGACCCAAGTGTTTCAGGGATGAACAAGGAGGTGCATTATTGACTCCAGTGCCATGCTTTTGCTTAATCCAGCAGCTGCTGCCATCGTATGAGTCTTCACTTGATTAGATCTTTCATAGCAGTTAAAAACACAAGTTTTTAAAAATGTGGAATCCACTTCAACTCTCTCCTTAACAAACAAAAGCCTGAGTCATAGGATGTCTGTTACAATGAGTTTTTACCTTTTATCTCTCCTCAAATGCTTTTTACTAACTGTGTTCCCACTTGTCCCGGAAGACAAAGCTCAGCTATTCTTACCCCCATGTTTCAGATGGGGAAAAAAATAATGAGACTTTGGTGAATAAGCACCTTCCCTGACATTGTAGAAATAAGCAATCAGTGCAGTGAGAACTGCCTGGGAGCATTCATGTGCTATAATTATTTAAGAGGACAGCAGATAAATATGTACTTCAGCCTCTGAAGCTGGTTTCTCAGGCAAGACCACTTGCCCTTGGGACCTGTGATAGATGTGAGCTCCTCAGCCTCCTTCCCAGGCCTCTGCAGCACAGCTCAAGAGAGGCGGAGCCTAGGAGTCTAGCTCCTTGCTGTTCTGATGTGTGTCATTGTCTTAAAACAGATGTTCTGGCTTTGTCTGCTGTGACAATAACGTTAGGAGGCCCTATGAGGAAATCAGGGGCCTCAAGCAGGAGTCTGGGAAAGGCCAGGAAAGAACACACAGTCTCCACTTCTAAGGAAGAGATGAGGGGGTGTTTACCCCCAGTCTCCCAGAGAATCACTAGTGGACAGTGTCCCTCTGCCTCTGATTTCTGAAAGGAAACACAGAGCCATGTGTGATGAGGCTGAGAGAAAAAAGATTCCAAAGATCACTGTTCAATATGGTAGCTAGTAGCCATATGTAACTATGAAAATTAGATTAATTAAGATTAAATGTAATGGACATCACAGGCCATTGGTCTACAAGTAAGATAAAAGTGCTGTATCAGTCAGGGTTCTCTAAAGGAACAGAACTGATACACACACACACACACACACACACACACACACACACACACACACACACACACGGGGGGGGGGGGGGGGGCAGGGGTGCCTGGAGGTATTAGCCTAGCTTACGGGATGTGGTTGAGTTACTCCAACAATGGTTGTCTCACAGTGGAGAGGCCGAGAATCCAGTTCAGTCCATAAGGCTGGATGTCTCAGCGATCCCAGTCTAGTGCTGAAGGCCTGGAGGACTCCTGGAGAGCTGCTGGTCTTCAGTCTGTGTTGGAATCCCAAAGAAACTGGTCCTAACACTGTCCAAGGAATGGCACAGAGACAGGATGGAAGAACTGGCCAGCAAGAGTAAGGGCAAGCAGGCAGAATAGCGAAGCTTCCTCCTTCCATGTCCTTTTACCTGGGCCTCTGCCAAAAGATGCCACCCAGATTTAGAGTGAGCCTTCCTGCTCCAAATAGCCTGATCAAGAACTCTGTCACTGGAGTGCCCAGCAGCTCGGGTGTCAGTTTCTTCCAGGTGCAGTCAAGCGGCAGTCACAATGAGCTGTCACAAGTGCAGCAGCAATGGACTGAAATTTAAACTTCCCTTTCATTAATTTAAATTGCATTAGCCGCATGAAGCTAATGGCAGCTCCGCCAGACGAGAGGACAGAGTAAGTATGTGGTGTGTGTACAGGGTTAATGCCACTGTCAGTCCTCGGAGCGCTAATACAAGCCTTCGTTTTATGGACTTTCAGCCACTGGTTAAAAAAATAATAGGCTGGGAGTTACTGTTCCGATGTTAATTTACTTAAAATAGTTATTTATTTATTTTAGACAGGGTCTAAAACTCATTATACAGCTGAGAATGACCTTCAACTTCTGATTCTCTTGTCCCCCAGTGCTGTGATCCCAGGAGCATGTTCCCACGCCCAGTTTATGAGCTGCTGGGGGTTTACCCTAGGGCTTTGGGGAAAGCGCTCTACCCAGCTACGTCTCTTATGGTCTCTGGGTTCAGATCTTTCCTTTATCTGTTTTTTAACGTGTAACTAGGGATTAAACCCAGAACCTCACGCCTGCACAGCCAATGCTCTGCCACCGAGCTGTACCCCCATTTCTTCTTCCTTTCATGGTTTGTTTTGAAGCTAAGTCTCACTCAATTACCCAGACAGGCCTTGATTCTTGATCCTTCTTATTCGGCCTCCTGAGCAGCTGGGATTGCAGGCCTCTGCTACCAGGCCCAGCTCCACTTCGTTGCTAAGGACTCCTGTGGCTTTAAACAAGTCACCAAATTCTCAAAGACTCAGTTTTCTAGAAATCGGGATTTAATGACTATTAATACTTCCTTTGTAGGCGTTTTGTGAAAATTCAGTGATAGGTGCAATTAGCTTCAAGAGATACATCTGACCCTCGGTAATGGTTTCTGGACACTGTATTGTGTCAGTTCCTTTTCCTCCAAAACACACTGTAGGATGACTGAGCTGCACCCCCCTCCTGGTGCTCACCAATGTGTGGCTTTGCTGTGTATAGAAATGCCCCGGTGGCCTCCTCTTTGCCCAAGCAGCAAAGGGCCGTACCTAAAGCAGGAAAGTGAAGAAAGTAGTTTTGTGCCCTTGACTTTCCATGGGATGACCAGACAGGACAGCAAGGTAGAAAAAATGATGGCTACAAGCACAGCTTCTGGTCGTCCTTGTAGCACGACATAAGTGACTTTTTACATTCTACCTCACATAGCCCTGCACTGAAGATAGGCTTTGAAAGACGTAGAAAGCTGCTCCTCTCGTTTCTGATCCTCAGGGATGCATTTGAAGTCTGCCAGAACATTTAGTAGCCTTTTGAGGAGACAATAATCTGAACCATCCATGCATTTTTAAGCCTTAGAATCATAGACTGAGTTACAGATCTAATTTACTAACCCCTTGATCATGCCTCTAAAGCTTAGTGCAAGAAAATGGATTTATTTTTCCTTCTGAGGTAGGTAACTTAGGCTATTGGGTAAGTTTAGTGTTTAATCTGGCAGACAGCAAGGTCCTTTGTGGACAGCATTGTTCTTTTTTAACAGAGCTTAATAAAAGCACAACTCAGCCACTTGCCAGCGTCTGATCTGGGCCCTGGCACTGCCCAGATTGTTTAGAACTGGGAGTGTGCAAGCTCTTCTCCACGGCCCATGCCTTCTGCTACCACTGAGTGACTCAGGAAGGCATAGTTACCACTGTGTAAACGCCAATGGGAGAGTGTTGTGAAGCTCCTTAACCCTGCTCTTCCCAAATGTCGTGTGAAGCTGCATGATAATGGTGATCGTAGCAGACCACTGATCACGTGCCAACATGCTGACACCTTTACATGCATCACATTTTGTACTTATCACAGCCTTCAGAGATAAGTCACTA